TTTCTATATATATGTGTGTGTGTGTGTGTGTATTTCTCTCTCTCTTTCTCTTTCTTTCTCCCTCTCTCTTCGTCCTCCCTCTCGCCCTCTCTTTATCCTCCCTCTCGCCCTCTCTTTTCCTCTCGTTCTGGGCGGGTGTCCTCTATTTCCGGGCGTCGCTCGTTGGACACCATTACACCGAGTGGCGGATGTAGGTTGTGTGCGTCCAGTAGCTTTTGATGAGGGCGGAGCTTATTCAACCAACAGCGCCGCAACACAACCATTTCTCAGGTATACAATTACATTCGTCGCTGAGCTATCGCGAGGGTAGTTTCGTAAGCGTTCGTCGAAATCGTGTCGACAGTGTGGATATATTTTCAACCAACGACGACGGTTGCGGTTCAGTCCGCACGATTGATTTCGATGTTTCTAATTATTCCTAACGACTCCGATATCCATCGCAGTTCGTCACCGGTGTTGTGCGCATTCGTAGTGTGAGCTAAATAATTCGCAATTGTGAATCGAGTAAGTTGTATTATAAATTAGAATAAGTTAACTAATTATACGTGAAATGTAGGCATGCCATCACAGCGCGATGACGATCTATTCAAATGAATCTTTGAACGCTATATTGAATATGATGCACCAGGTTTATGATAGAAACCACAGTGTTATGTATCGCCAGCAGCAGAATCAAGTCGGCGGTAATCAGCAGCACCAGCAGCAACAACTTCCGGCGCCGCAAATGCAGCAGCAATCCATGCAACAGGTTCAGCCACATGCCGCGGTTGCCGTTGCGGCCACCACGATTGACGGTGCTCAGTCATACTGGAACGGACATTCGCGTAGAATACACCCTAGGCCACCATTGTTATTCTCTCAGGCCAGTTCGTTTTCCTCGCAATTCTACAACGCTCACGAGACCTTCATACCCGCATGGCCGACAACTTATTCGCCGACACTGACCGGCTATCTGCAATATCCAATGCCATCGCCGTCGCAGCCGCAATCGTCGTACTGCCAGCAACAACTGCCGTCGCAACACGCGCAGCTTGCGCACACACCGCCGCATAGTTTGCAACAACATTCGCCACCGAACCACTTGCAGCAACATTCGCCACCGAACCACTTGCAACAACATTCGCCACCGAACCACTTGCAACAACATTCCCCGCAACAACAGCAGCAGCAGCAGCAGCAGCAGCATATTCACCAGCACGCATTGCCGCACCCGCATATGCAGGATCACTCGCCACCGTATCAGCATTCGTCGCCCCAACACTATCAACAGCATCTCTCGCCCCAGCAACACATGCAGCAACACTCGCCGCCGCAGCACTTCCAGCAACAATTGTCACCATCGCGATCGTCACCGGAGCAGCAGCACGTGAACGGCCAGCAAATAGTGCAATGGAACATGAACAACGAGAACGGCGCAATGGGAGTCATGCCAATAACTACCGCTATGAACGGCCACGCAAGTAGCTCTAGCAGCCACTATACCACAACGCCTACAACGTCGCCCAATAATCTCAATGTATCATACGCGAGTGGCAGTATGAACGTGCCGTGCACTGCTGATAATATGAATCTGCCGTCTACATCCGGTATCAATCTGCCTACATCGTGCATTAATCTACCGTCTACATCTGGCATCAATATGCCTTCAACGTCAGGCATGGATTTACCATCGACATCGAGAAATAATAGTGAGATAAATATGCCGTCCACATCTCGACGGCAGGCATGCCCCAAAACGGAGCGGAGAAGCCCGTACGGATGGATGAAGAAACCATCATATCAGAGTGAACCAAAGCCAGGTGAGAATATTATTTTTTTGCGGTGTTAAATGTTTCCCGAACTTGCCTTTCAGAAAGTAAGAATGTCTCAAAGCATCGGGTCATTTGTCATAATTTTAGAGATAAAACATGGTCTTAATGTGCTCAAAAAATCAAATTTACGATCTTGCAAGACATAGAAATTAATACATTTTAATTCCATATAGAGAGAAAAAGAGAGAGTGAGAGAGAGAGAGAGAGAGAGAGAGAGAGAGAGAGAGAGAGAGAGAGAGAGAGAGAGAGAGAGAGAGAGTA